GGCTTTAGCCTGGCACAGTTCCACATGGTGTGGGCATTTGGGGGATGAACCAGCAGGTGGAAGATCAATGAATCTCTCTCTCTCTCTCTCTCTCTCTCTCTTGCTCTTTAAAATAAATACATATTTTAAACACACAATGAGGGGTTGGCATTGTGGCATGGCAGGTTAACCCACCACCTGCAACACCAGCATTCCATATGGGCACTGGTTCGTGTCCCAGATGCTCTACTTCAATCCAGTTCCTGCAAATGTGCCTGTGAAAGAAGCAAAGGAAGACCCAAGTGCTTTGACCCCTGCCACCACCATAGGAGGCCTGGGTGAAGCTCCTAGCTCCTGGCTTGGCTCTGCCCCAGCCCTGGCCATTGTAGCCATTTGGTAATTAACTAGCAGATGGAAGATCTGTCTCTCCCTCTCTTTTTGTAACTCTGCCTTTCAAATAAATAAAATTATTTTAAAAAATTTTTAAAATACACTGAATTGGATACTTTACAGCATACAAAAGTATTTCTGCTGTATTTCCATCTTCAAACCAATCCTGAAAAACAGGCTCCTATAAAACACATGTTTTCAGTATATATTTTCCAGATAAAAAAAATTGAAGCTGAGGGATCATATAAATACAAGCTGCTCAAGATAAACAATAGAGGAGGGGCCGGTGCTGTGGTGTAGCTGGTAAAGCTGCCACCTACAGTGCAGCATCCCATATGGGCACAAGTTTGTATCCCAGCTGCTCCTCTTCTAATACAGCTCTCTGCTATGGCCCAGGAAAGCAGTAGAAGATGGCCCAAGTCCATAGGCCCCTGCACCTGTGTGGGAGACCGGGAAGAAACTCCTGGCTTCTGGCTTCGAATGGGCGCAGCTCCAGCCATTGTGGCCAGCTGGGGAGTGAACCAGCAGATGGAAGACCTCTCTCTCTCCCTCTTTCCTACACTCTCTCCCTCTCCCCCTCTTCTTCTCTCTCTGTGTAACTCTGCCTTTCAAATAAAATAAATAAATCCTAAAAAAAAAAAAAAAACTAGAGGAAATGGTCAATTCTGAGTCAGGCATAAGACTATATAGCAAGTACATGCTGCCTCCTCACAATCTGCCACTTCTTCACCCTTTAACTTAAATCTCCATCTACCTGCAGGTGATGTCCTTGGTCTACACTTTTAATCCTGTATGTTCATTGTCTTTATATTTATCTGCAAGTTTCTCTATATCATACTTGATAGTAGTGTTTTTGTTTAGGACAGGGGCTGACCATACCTAATAGCTGTACATTGGGGGTTGGCCACACTAGAAAGACCAACTATGCATTTTAGGGTAGTGACTTTGGAACAAGGTATCAGCCCACCAAAACACCGAGTTCAACAACATGGACAATCAATCATGCCTAAGAAATAAAAATCAATAAAACCCTGGATACTCATGCTCAAGTGAGCTTCTAGGTTTGCAATATTCAGTGCATACTGACACACATCAATGCTTGTTGTCCTGAGGACAACAGTGGACTTGTTCTGGAGCCCTCCCAGAAGATGCCATATGCATCTTCTTCCTTTTACCAATTTAATCTATATCCTCTCTCTGTAATAGAATTGCCACTGTGAGTACAACAGCTTTAATTAAATTCTCTAGCACCTTCTGATGAACTATCTGAAGGTGTTTTGTGGAAACCATGCAACTTGCAATTGGTGTCAGAAGTAAGGGTAGTCTTGAAGTCTATGTCCCCAAACCACACAATCTAGCTAATTCCAGGTATCTATCTAACTTGTCATAAAGTCCTACCAATCCTTTTTCCATCAAACTCAGACTCTCCACCGCCACAAGCTATTCACAGGTGGTAGATCAATCACACAGTATTTCCCAATTGTGGACTCAAGAGCTTCAGGGGCTGCTTTGTGAAGGAAACCAGAGGGTCTCACAGTTAGATCTGAGAACCACTGGTCCCATGAAGTAAACACAAGCTTGTGCGTTTGTCACTTATGAAGTGACCTTGGGCTACTTATTTGACCTTTCTGAGCTTCACTGTTGAAATTACAGATCGCAATATTTACCTTCTAAATTAAATGTGACATTAACATAGAAGATAGAGGAAGCCTAACACAGTCCCTGCCACACAACAGATCTATAAGAAATTGCAAATAATTTCTTTAGTTAATGATTATTATAAAAGGTCACATTGATCTTTTTATTGTTTCTCCCATTCAAGTCCACAGTGCCAGCATAGTCATTTCCATATTCATCATGTTGCCACTGTATTAAAAATCATAATAATAAAGAGTTCCCAATCACACCTAGGTCAAATCAAGTAGTCTAGGGTTTGGTGTTGTGGTGTAGTAGGTAAGGCTGCCACCTGTGATGCCAGCATCCCATATGGGCACCAGTAAGTCCCAGGTGCTCCATTTCTAATCCAGCTCTCTGTTAAGGTGCCTAGGAAAGCAGTGGAAGATGGCCCAAGTGCTTGGGCCCCTGCACCCAGAAGAAGCTCCTAGCCCAGCCCCAGTCATTGTGGCCATTTGGGGAGTGAACCAGCAGATGGAAGACCTCTCTCTCTGCCTCTCCCTCTCTAGCTCTGCCTTTCAAATAAATAAAATAAATTTTTTAAAAAATCAAGTAGTCTAACTAGGGATTAAGAAGCATAGTTCCTGGTTCTAGAACAATGCTGAGAGCAAAAATTTCACATAATTGGATACCCTAAATTTTGCCTATCATTATCCTCTAATTCTCATCAAAGATTCTGTTCTATCTAAAGTGGCAATATGCTACCTGATTCCAATTCTTTCTTTCCTCACTCTGCCCCGCCACCCCCCAATCTGGACTGCCTCCTTAGAAAATCCAGATGCATTACTTCTTTTGGGGGGCAGGGTACCCTAACCCACAGCTTTCCAGGTAGAATGCATGTGTACTGAGTGGGCTACATGTATACCTGAACTACTGATCCCCCTGCACTCTAGGCAACCAGGACAAAGCAGGTGAGGGTTGGAAACTCTACATTGATGGTCTCTGACAACAAAGAGTTTACATAATGAGTTCCACAATTAAAACTTTTTATGTATATCATGCAGTAAAAAAGACGGTAGAGTGGTGCCCTAAGCTCACTCTACACAAATCTATTCCTTTATTCATCATCTTGATAATATAACTTTTGGCTAGCTACCCTGTTGGGTGACAGTAAGGTATAGGCAGTGTAAAGAATAGGAATGTATGACTTACTAGCCCCACTTTAAGTCTGTAACCCTGGGAAAGCCACAGCTGTTCAATGGCTGAATGCCTTCAGGAATAAAATGTAGGGGCCAGTGTGGCGTAAAGTGTGAAGCTGCCACCTGCAATGCCCATCTCATATAGGTACTGGTTCCAGTCCTGGCTGCTCCACTTCCAATCCAGTTCCCTGCTAATGTGTGTAGGAAAGCAGAAGATGGCCCAAGTCTTTGGACCACTGCACCCATGTGGGAGACCTGGATGGAGTTCCTGTCTCCTGGCTTCAACCTGGCCCAGCCCCAGCCATTTGAGGAGTGAACTAGTGGATGGAATATCTCTGTCTCTCTCTCTCTCTGCAAATCTGCCTTTCAAATAAATAAATATTTTTTAAAAAAAGGATAAAATGTCAACTTGTATATGAACACCTCTCAAGTCAATGGTGGAGTTCAACTCCGCAATGAGCACATGAAAACTCAAAATACTGGGAAGTATTAAAGGTAAAGCATGCCTAATCCAAAAATATAAAATCTAAAATGCTCCAAAACCTCTTTATTGTGAGCATTGACATGTATAAAATTAACCTTCCTGCTATGTGTACAGGTGTATATAAAATGTAACTGAATTTCCTATTTAGACTTGAATCCCAGCTCCAAGAATCATGTTATATGCAAATATTCCAAAATCCAAAATCTGAACACTTCTGGTCTCAAGCATTTTGGATAAGACATATTTAACATGTATTAACAAATGTTCCTTGAGTCAACTGGCTAACAGTATGATTCTAGTTCTCAAAAAGAGTGAAAACTGAGGTGTTTGCTTTTTTTCAAGTCACCAAAATGGTCTGATCGTTCATTTGTCCACCTCCACTATTAAGCAAGCCACGCCCACTACGAAGTACACTCCTGGGAAACCTAGGTGAGTACTTTTGACATCAGCAGTTAATTGTTCTAATACAGTACCTAAGGAGGAAGAAATCTTCCAGGACTTGGTGATTTACCACGTTATTATCTTTCCAAGTCTGAAAAAGTTCCAAAGTCCCACCAACTTTGAAATTTACTCTCAGGGTTTATACCTGCACTGTGAACATCTGATTATCTATTTACAACCCCTAAATCCTCCCTGTGAGATTCTTCCCGTGAAAATTTCCCAGAGGACATATTTACTAAAGTTCTAATAAATACATTGTTTTGACCTAGGGACCTTTAGAAATGACGAGGAGTCAAAAGATACTGTGTGGAACTCACAATCACCTGTCAGAACAGTGATTAGTTAGAAAAGAAAGATCCTCCAGAAGAATCAATAAATAAGGTAGTAAGTCAGCATGAACAGAAAGGAATCCAAACACACCTACAGGGGGGAATGTGGTACTTAGCTACGCTGTCACCATATTATGAAATTCCTCTATAGGGTCATTTCAAGCCATCCACAGCCTCCCCTGGTCCTCCTGTCACATGAACCCTGTGCTCCAAGCACAGCCAACTTTCTGCAGTATGTCCTGTTCTTGCACAGTTCTTCGCCCTGCCTCACGCTGTCCTTCTGCCTGGATACCCTTCCTTTCCCTTTTACTTAGCTAACACCTGCTATTCTTCCAAGGTTCTCAAGGCTGAGAGTAGAAACGACCGACTTGGCTCCGAGCTGTTAACTTTAGTGCCCAGCACAGTACGATACTATAAGCGAAGAGGAAGAAATTCAAACAACCCCCGGCCTGGGAAGGATACAGTGTTGCTTTCCCGCCTCCCAACACCCGTATACACACTTGGCCGACTGCCCTTTTTCAGCACTCCCATGATATTGACTAATTCCACCATCATATTTTTCACCTGTCCCGTAATTGTCTGTAAGGGCAGCGATAGTAAGATGATGTCACCCTTTATCCCCAGAACTTTGCCCGGTGCTTGAAACACAGTGCGGGGCTCAACACGTCTGCGGGAGGAATAAGGGGATGCATATGTCAGAGCAGCCCTAGGACACACGGGCCTTCCTCCTCTGGCACGCGACCCAGCCTCCCTTGCCTCGGCGATTCCCGCACAGCGCCCGGCCCCCGTTTCCTCCACCAATGACACTGCCGCGGAGCCTTCCATCGCAACTCCCCAAAGACACAGCCGCTGCCTCCTCCGGCCAATTAAAGTCCAACTGCTGCCGACGCTGCTCCGGCGGACCCGGGCCCCTCTCGAGATCGTCTCAACCGTGCGGAGGGCGCCGACGACTGAGCAGCGGCGCCAAGGCGGGAAGGGGACTGCTCGGCTCGGCGGCCGCCGGCACGCGCCAAAGCCGGCCGGGTGCGGGCTCCCACTTGCCTGGGCGCCGCCAAGCCGAGGACGGCGAGTTCCGAAGCCCATTGATCCCCAGCACCCGACCCTCCCGGGGCCCGGCCCGCAGCCTGGCCCCTGCCTCCTCCGCCCGCTACCCCCGGACTCGAGCTGCCCCTTCCTCTGGCTCGGGCCGCGTTACGCGACCACTGCCCCGACCCCCGGCTGGAGGCGAGGATACGGACTTGAGCTGCGGGGGCTCCCGCCCACGGCCCTGCGGCCTCCTCCGCTTGCCTCGGCCCTCGGTCTCCAGATCCAAGCGTCCGCCGGGTTCCCAGGGCGGCGGAGCGCGGGCCCACGGTGCAGAGCGCACTGACCTGGAAGTGCAGCGCCATTTTCCCGGGAGGCGGCGCCGGCCGGCCGGCCCGGAGCGCCCGAAGGGAAGAAGGGGAGGCGGGAGCCGCGGAACCCCCTAGCCGCCCGCGGGGTCCCTGCGCCGCTCGCTCGCTCGGTCCCCGTCGCCTCAGCCGCGATCCGCGTCGGCGTTCGAAGCGCTGAACGGGGCGGGGCAGAAAGGGACGGGGCGGGGCGACGGAGGCGGCACGCGCGGGGCTGGCCTCAGGGGGCGTGTCCTCCGGGGGCGCAGGAATCCCAACCGCCCCTGGAGCTCCGGTTTCAACCGCTGCTGTCCAAGTGACCTGGGAACCCTGTTGACGCAACTACCACAGCCAACTGTCAGCCATTGACCCTCTGCCACAGGCTCTCTTGACCCCTGACCCTCACAGCGCCAACTGTTCCCCATGGCTCCCGACTCCTGCATCTCCAATGTTCTAGTCCCCTAACACCCACTTGCTGCTGACAGACAGCCGTAACCTTTGATTGACACATGCCAAGTGCTGCCCCTGACTGCTGACTCATAGCCCAACTGCCACTCTCTTGAAAATTTTTAACTTGACTTTGGTTAAAAGTACACTGACCTGGGCTCGACGCTGTGGCTCAGCGAGTAAAGCCGCCGTCTACAGTGCCCACATCCCACATGGGTGCCAGTTCTAGTCCCAGCTGATCCTCTTCTGATCCAGGTCTCTGCTATGGCCTGGGAAAGCAGAAGATGGCCCAAGGCCTTGGACCCCTTCCCCCATATGGGACTGAGCCCAGCTCTGGCTGTTGCAGCCATCTGGGAGTGAACCAGCAGATGGAAGACCTCTCTCTCTCTGTCTCTCTCTCTCTCTGTGCCTCTGCCTCTCTGTAACTTTGCCTTTCAAATAAATAAATGTTAAAAAGAAAAAAAAGTACACTAACCAGTTTCTAAATGGCATTAAATTGTAAAATTTTGGCTTACCTCTCTTTGACTACATTCCACTTCCTATGAACTAATATTTTACACCAAACGATTCCACTGGAACGAGGACTTACTGGAGAAGAGATGGGTCAAAGTCACTCCTTTCTGGTACTATTTCTTTTGAAAGTTCAACATTTCGGCCCGTGCCGTGGCTCAGTAGGCTAATCCTCTGCCTTGCGGCGCTGGCACACCGGGTTCTAGTCCCAGTCAGGGCACCGGATTCTGTCCCGGTTGCCCCTCTTCCAGGCCAGCTCTCTGCTGTAGCCTGGGAGTGCAGTGGAGGATGGCCCAAGTGCTTGGGCCCTGCACCCCATGGGAGACCAGGAAAAGCACCTGGCTCCTGCCACCGGATCAGCGCGGTGCACCGGTTGCAGCGCGCCGGCCGCGGCGGCCATTGGAGTGTGAACCAACGGCAAAAGAAGACCTTTCTCTCTGTCTCTCTCTCTCACTGTCCACTCTGCCTGTAAAAAAAAAAAAAAAGTTCAACATTTCCATTTGGGGTTGTTGTGCTTTGGTATTTAAGGGGGAAATTAGCTTAAATTCTTATAGTTCAGGTCTGCTAACTCATTTTTGTTTATATAAAATACCTTTATTTCACCTTTGTGTAAGGGATAGTTTTGTTGGGTATAGAACTGCACATAGGCTGGCGCCGTGGCTCACTAGGCTAATCCTCCACCTTGCAGCGCTGAACACCGGGTTCTAGTCCCGGTCGGGGCGCCGGATTCTGCCCTGGTTACCCCTCTTCCAGGCCAGCTCTCTGCTGTGGCCAGGGAGTACAGTGGAGGATGGCCCAAGTGCTTGGGCCCTGCACCCCATGGGAGACCAGGAGAAGCACCTGGCTCCTGGCTTCAGATCAGCGAGTTGCGCCAGCCACAGTGCGCCAGCCGTGGCAGCCATTGGAGGGTGAACCAACAGCAAAGGAAGACCTTTCTCACTGTCTCTCTCTCTCACTGTCCACTCTGCCTGTCAAAAAAAAAAAAAAAAAAGAACTGCACATTGTCTTTTTTTGTTTGTATTGTAATCCTTCAGCATTTAAAAAATGTCTTTCTGTTCTTCTGGTGCCATTGTTTCCATTGAGAAGTCAGCCACCAGTCTGATTGTTGCCCCTTTGAAGTTAGGATGTCTATGTCTTCTCTCCCTATCCCACAAACTCTGCAAGTTTTTCTCTTTGGTCTTCAGCTGTTTGAGATTGATGTCACTAATTGTGTATATGCACTGTATTTATCCTACTTGGTACATAGAGTTTCATAAGTGTAAGATTTGATACTTTTCAGCAGTTTTTGAGAAATCCTAGCCAATATTTTCTTAAATAGTGATTTTGTCCTCTTTACATTCTAGAATTTTAATTACATTGATGTTAGAATTTCTTGATATTTTCCTTAGGTCTCTTGCACTATTTTCTGTTTTTTTGTTTTTGTTTTTGTCTTTTTTCTCTCCATGATTTAAAGCTTCTGTCTGAAAACTCAGTGCCTGAATCACCTTAGTCTTCCTCGTTTTTGACATTTAGCCTTTTCCCCCCTATTACTCAGAAGTTTTTAAATTCAGACCACATGAAAAGAAAATTGTAGAGACAAGGTTGGCATTATGGCAGAATGGGTAAAGCCTGCGATTCTGGCATCCCATGTGTGCACAGATTCCATTCCGGCTGCTCCACTTCTGATTTGGCTCCCTACTAATGTGCTGGGAACACAGTGGAAGATGGCCCAAGTGCTTGGGTGAACCAGCAGAGGGAAGACCTCTCTGTCTCTCCCTCTCTCTCTGTAATTCTGCCTTTCAAATAAATAAAATAAATTTTAAAAAGAAATTATAGAGGCTCTGGATAAAATCAACTTTCTCCAATGAGAGTTAATTTTTCTTATTTTAGTAGGCAAACAAAGTACCAGTGATCACCTTAATTGAACCAAGTTGTAGCTTTTGGTATTTTTATGCTGGCTTATTTCAGTTTTGTTCTGACTTCTGAATCATGATCATTACTGGGTCTTACAACTAAAACTCTGGGGTGTTGGCCAAAACCCCTCGACCTTGTAGAGCTTAAATTCTCATCTTCGTCTCCCTACATTGAGCAACTGCTAAAATCTCCATTCTGCTGTTTAGGTGCTGCTGTTTTGCTATTTCTCATGTCTCTTGTTTCTTTTTTCTTTTCTTTTCTTTTTTTTTTTTTTTTTAAGATTTATTTATTTATTTGAAAGGCAGAATTACAGAGAGGAGAGACAGAGATAGAGAGGTCTTCCATATGCTAATTCACACCCCCAAATGGCCACAACAGCTGGAGCCATGCCGATCTGAAGCCAGGATCCAAGAGTTTCTTCTGGGTTCCACACAGGTGCAGGGGCCCAAGCAGTTGGGACATCTTCCACTGCTTTCCCAGGCAACAGCAGAGAGCTGGATCAGAAGTGGAGCAGCCAGGACTTGAACCAACGCCCATATGGGATGCCAGCACTGCAGGCAGTGGCTTTTCCCACTATGCCACAGCGCTGGCCTGGTGTCTCTGGTTTCTTGATATCTTTCCATGCGCATATGCATCTGAGGAAGTGACTGCTGACTTGCAGGAAATTTCCGGTTCCCTGCTCTCTGGAGTTTTGTCCTTCACTTCTTTGTTATTCCTTGCTGGCACTTGAAAGACGCTGTGGGGGTGGTGGAAGTGTAAATTCAATTCTTACCTTTCATGCTTTCATTCTCTATGGCATTGTGACCAATTGAGTTCTGCCTTTGTCTCCTCTTCTCTAGTGCCCTTAGTTCTCAAATCTCGAAGGGTCTTAAAAATTTTTGAATAAACTGTACATGGATTTCAAAAATTTGTTCAACAAAATAAGCTTATTTTTTAAATCTATTCTCTACAAACTTTTTGAAGTACCATCATATTTCTTCTGTGGTAGTGTGTGTATGCAATTATTGCCAAATATGTATTTACAGTTGTTATATATATATTTAGAATATATAATACAGTATATTTTATATATGTACATACATATGTAATTGCTTTTATGCCTGATATCAGTGGGAGATCCAATCCAGTTTAAGGAATTCCATTGCAAGCAAACTCTACAACTTCCATTATTTACCCTCAATTTCATACTTCTCCCACAGCTCATGAATCTTCATTGCATAACCCAACTCTTAACCCGTAACATGTTTAATAGTCTCATCCTGCCATTTTCACTCCTATATCCCAAAGCTCATTAAAACTTTCATTTCCGTGTCTCGAGATTTTTTAGACCCAATCTCTATTGTGATTTCCGCAACCCAGCATTTCTGACTCCCACATCTCAAACACTACTGATTACTTCTGTCCTTTCATTACATCTGCTGCACAATACCCTTTTATTTAAACTGCTTTCTGCCTTTGTCCAGCTTCTAATCTGAATCACCTCTTAAAGCTATTGCTTTAAAGTGGCATTTCTATCACTTCCACTTTTAGGTCTGTAGGGGAGGAACAATTATTTGGGTTTTGATCATTTGACTGTTTTGCCACGCCAGATCATGCTAGGTACAGTGTGGGGTTGTAATAAGAACAGCAGGGGATTCTGACTATTCATGGACCTACTAGGTAATTCTGGAAACAAGTCCGTTGTTTTTTCTCTTTGTATTTGAGTGGCTGGTTAAGATTTCTATTTCAATTAACCCTCACTTCCATGACTGTCTATCAGCAAAATAATGTCAGTTAATAAAATTTCAGAATCATGTCGCTAGGGCTGTTACAATTAGCAGAGAAGATGCTCTAAGATGTCAAATAATTCAATTTATCACAAAACTCAATAAAAAGTGC